GTGAGTACTTCAGTCTAAATTCCGATGCGAATGTCCTCTAATAGTGCGATCGGCTAGTTGTTGCTCTCAGCAGGCCATCGAAAGTGCAACGTTTCTGTTGAAAAAGTGCAACCGTTGTTCTACTGTTGAAATCTTTCTGAAATCGTCGACTTTAGACATATTGGATTGAATAATCCGTTGATCACAACTTTGAAGCAGTTCTGACCACATAAAGACTTTTGAAGTGGAATATATCACTGAGGGAAGCTTATTTTATAACTTCCAAATTTCAGTTGCTCACAACGCTGAACGCGTCAGATGCAGACCGTGGTTATGCGGGTATTTTACAATTCGCGTGTTGGGATGAACTGTTCGAAGTGAATGTGCACAGTGGTGAGTTGAGGGTTGCGGGTCGTCTTCATGAATTGATGCATCGTGAGATATCAAACAACGATTCGACAAACGAAATGAGTATTCAGCATCGTTTGAATATTATGGTGTGTGATATGGGTGATCCCGTCAAATGCACCAACGCTACACTCAACGTTACTGTTGTGGACAGTAACAACAATGCACCTTTATTCGATAAGGTCCTTTCATACTCATCTTCATATTTGTGGTTTCCTTAAATTTCTTTATGTCCAATTACAATTCCCTTTCTCCATTCATATTAGAGATAGTTTGGATCGACTGCTGTTGTAGCATTCTTTTGTTGATTGAAATGGAATGACGAAAGTCTAATTGTAGCTTTCGCAGGTGAATGTATTAGTTTATTGCAAACTCCTGAACTATGGACTGCATAACTTCACTCGTTACGTATGACAGGTGCAAAATGCACACTTGAATGATCTAAGATGTTAGAGCGTTGCCACTTGACTTTGTCATGCATGAATGGAACTGTCTCTTTCATGATATCTGATAGAATGGTGCGGTAAGGAGACAATTAAAAATGAGTGACCGATGCAGTAAGCAAGTGACCATTGAGCACTCAAATAATCACTGCTATATAAGCATCACTGCTTTATAAGCAAAATCTGATGGATTATTGCTCTCAGTTTGGTTGATATGAGGAAATGCGTTAATGCATCTTGCCTGTGATGTGTATCCTCCATTTAAAGGGCCAACCTTTCATAACCTTTGCGGGAGAGTTCAGTCATGAACAACACTCAAACGTAACAGATAGTACATGACATGCTCATATAAAAGTATGTATCCTTCATCGCGTATCACATAATTCAATTGTTCCTTTCTTTCAAATTCATTCATACGGCTCAGTTAACAAACAGTAAGATTACCAACACAATGGTTTGGGAGTGAGAAGCTACTTTGAGAAAT